TCCCATTCAGTACCTTGATGTCAAAATTCTTCATCTTCAATGTAGTCAAATTATCAGTCATTTCCTTCATTGTTAGTACTTTTCTGTCTCCTTTAAGAAACCATTCCCTATCCAAAGTCATAAAGATATTTTTCTATATTATTTTCTAGAACTTTTACTGTTTTACTTTTCACATTTAAATCCATAATCTATCTTAAATTATTTTTTGTGTTTAGTGTGAGGTATGGCCATGTATTTTTTCTCCTCCTCCCTCCTCCCCTTAGGGATATCCAGTTGACCCAACACAATTGATTTAGAAGACCAGTCCTCCTACTCCACTGCTCTGTAGTGCCACCTTTTTCATAAAGTTTCAAAAATAAAGTTTCCATTATGTGTGGGTCTGGACTCTATTTTTACCCAATAGTTTATTTGTCTATTTTCTCTGTTAGTTACTACAGTAAATTCGTAAGTCTTGATATCTTGCAGACAAAATTTTCATTTTTATGATCTTCAAAATTGTCTTCACTATTCATAATTTCTATATAAATTTATAATCAGTTTGTCCATTTCCACCAAAAAATATTTTGATTGAAATTATATTAAATCTAGAGATTAGGTGATAATTGTTTCATTTACCATAGTAAGTTATTTAATTGATGCTTATAATCTCCCTCCATTTATTTAGGTATTCTTTAGTTTTTCTCAGTTAAGGGGACTTTTTCCCCCTGCATAGAGGTCCTTCGTATTTTTAGTTAGATTTTATTCTTAGTCATTTGATAGTTTTTTAGGCTATTATAAATAGTACCTTTAATTTTTGTGTGTGTCTTTATTTGTTGCTATTATTTAGAAATACTATTTATTTATTTTCCATATTGCTTTTGTCTCCAGCAACTTTTCTGTAGTCAATTCAAACGTATCTGGGGGCTGCTTTAGATTTTTTACATGTACAGCTATGTCATCTATGGATCATGACAGCTTTACTTCTTCTTGTCCAGTATGTATACCACTTATTTCTCTGTATGGCACCGATTAGGGCCTTCAATATAATGTTGATTAGAAGTGGTATAGTAGGCATCTGTGTGTCTTGATCCTATATATGTCATAATTTTTTAGCAGCTGCCCACATTAAGTAAGTTCCCCTCTATTCCCAATTTGCTAAAATGGTTTATCATCAGTGAGAGTGGAATTTTATCAAAGAATTGTTTTGCACCTTGGCTGGTTTGGCTTAGCAGCTAGAGCGTAGGCCCTTGTACTAAAGGGTCACGAGTTCAGTTCCTGGTCAAGGGCACATACATGGGTTGCAAGTTCGATCCCCCGCCCTCGGTAGAGTTGTGTGGAAGGCAACCAATTGATGTGTCTCTCTCACATCAATTTTCTCTCTCCCTCTCTCCCCTCCTCCTTTCTACACTCTCTTAAAAACAACAACAACAACAACAACAACAACAACAACGGAGCCTGGCTTGTGTGGCTCAGTGGTTGAGTGTCAACCCATGCACCAAGAAGTTACCAGTTCGATTCCCAGTCACGACACATGCCCAGGATGTGGGCCCAATCCCCAGTGGGGGCATGTAGGAGGCAGCCAATCAATGTTCTTTCTTTCTCATTGATGTTTCTATTTCTCCCTCTCCCTTCCTCTCTCTCTAAAAGCTATAAAGGAAAAACAAAAATTTTTAATCAATGGGAAAATATCCTTGAGTGAGGATTAAAAAAATAAATAATTACTCTGCTTTTATCAAAATGATAACAGTTTTCTCCTTTATTCTATTATAGTGAATTATGTTAATTGATTTTTTAATGTAAACCAAACTTTCATTCATGAAATGGACCCAATTTGGTCATCACACTTACAATGTTCAGCTTTCCTTTACCATTTTTCTTTAGACATATATCTTGCTAACAACTCAGAGCTAAATTTTTTTTAAATCAGTCAGAGAGCCCTTATCTTAAACAAGTCCATCCAACCAATTTATTATAGGTTAATTTGGACTTAATCCTGCTTTTATTTCACTATTTAAAATATTACACATCTTGGCCCTCTCCAGGTAGTTCAGTTGGTTAGAGCATCATCCCAATGTGCCAAGGTTGTGGGTTCAATTCCTGGCCAGGGCACATACAAGAATCAACCAGTGAATGAATAAATAAACAGAACAACAAGTCAATGTTTCTCTCTCTCTCTCTCAAATCATTTTTTTAAAAAACACTTAATATTATATTATATAGTCTTGTGAATTTCATTCTTTTTTTTCACTTACTTTTGTTGGATTAACAGCATTTTCTTTGTTCTATTTTTATTACTTTAATCTCTAGAAATTAGAAACTTACCCTGGCCAGTGTGGCTCAGTTGGTTGGAGTATTGTCCTGTAACCAAAAGGTTATGGGTTTGATTTCCAGTCGGGGCACATACCCAGGTTGTGGGTTAGATCCCTGGTTGGGGTGGGTATGAGAGGCAAGTGATTGATGCTTCTCTCACATTAATGTTTCTCTCTCCTTCCCTTCCTCTCCCTCCCTTTCTCTCTAAAAATTGGTAAAAACATATCCTGATTAGAAATTAGAAACTCATTTTCCTAATGATTACCTATAATCATAAAAAACACATACTTGGTAGCAAATTTTCACTTCCCCCACTTCCTTATATATTCCCTCATCAATTTATGTAATCTAAAATTTTAGTCTAGGATTATTTTAAGTTTTCTGTACAATGAATACTTCTATAGATTTAGCAATACATTTCACTGCTCATTATTATTTCTTGTAATGATAATCATCATAATTATAATAGTAACAAACATTTATATAGTGCTTGCCATGTGCCAGGTAAAGCACTTGATATTATTAATTTATTTAATCCTCACAACAGCCCTATGAAGTAGATACTGTTATTGTTCCCATTGGTAAGGGTATATAAACTGAGACAAAGAGATAGTACATGGTTTTCCTAAGGTTAGACTACTAATAGGTGGATCCAGAATTCTGGCTCTGCCTAGAACTGTTACTCTTAATATTTACACTATGCTGTCTATTCTTTTATTTCTGATCTTCTTTAGCATTAAATTTTTTTCTGGATGACTTGATCTTCTAGTTCTTTTCAAACTGATCAATGGATGATAAACCACATCCTTGAATGTTTGAAAATGACTTATGTATGGCTTAATATTGAATTTTAGGTTCAAAATTATTTTTCCTCAATATTTTAAAGATATCATTGTTATCTCTTTGCATTAATTTTACCCATGAGAAACCTCTTATCAAACTAATTTTTAATTTCTTTTCTACTTAATCTAATCTAATTTTTTGTTTGTTTGGTTTGGTTTGGAAGCTTAGGGTATTTTTTGAATTTTTCCAATAATTTCTTGCTATACAAAGTATGTTCCTTGGACAGCAACACTATACTCAAATTGTCAAATGTCACAGAAAGAGAAAATCTTGAATGCAGCAGGAGAAAAGCAAGCATTCCCATAAGATACTAATTGGATTTCTCAGCAGAAACCTTGTAGGCCATAATTGACTGGAATGATTCAAAATGCGGAAATAAAAAAACTGCCAACCAAGAATACTATATCCAGCAAACCTCATGTAAAAGCTTCACGACATTGAATTTTTCAGTGATTCTTGGATATGACACTAAAAGCACAGGTGACAAAAGCAAAAATAGAAAAATGGGGCTTTATAAAACTTGAAAATTTTGCACAGCAAATGAAACACTAACACAGACAAAAGGCAACACACATAATGGGAGAAAATAATTGCAAAACATATATCTGAAAAGAGATCAATATTCAGAACATATAAAGAATTCCTACAACTCAACAACAAAAAACCTGATTAAATAATGGCAAATGATTTGAATAAACATTTCTCCAAAGAAGATATACAAATGGCCAACAAGCTTATGAAAGGGCTCAACATTTGCAATCATTAAAGAAATGCAAATTAAAATCACAATGAGATATCATCTCACACCCATTAGGGTGGTCACTATTGAAAAAAAACACATAAATATCAATTGTTGACACAGATGTGGAGAAATTGGAACCCTTGTGCACTACTGTTGGTAATAAGATTTGAAAACCAGTTTAGAAGTTCTTCAAAAAAGCAAAAATAGAATTACCATAAGATAAGTAATCCTACTTCTGGGTATATATCCAAGAGAATTAAAAGCAGGATTTCAAAGAGATATTGCAATATTATTCACAATGACCAGAAGGTGGAAGCATTCCAAATATTCGTTGACAGATGAATGGATAAAGAAAATGTGGTATATATGCACAATGGAATACTATACAGCTGTAAGAAAGAAAGATCTCTTATCCTTTGAGATGACATGGAGGGACCTGGAGAGTATTATCCTAAGTGAAACAAGCCAAACAGAGAAAGACAAGTATCATATGATCTCACTTATTTGTGGAATATAATGAACATAACAATCTGAGGAATGGGGTAGTCCCAGAGACGTGAAAGTAGGGTACAGACTGATAATCCCCAGAAGAGGGGGTGAGGGGGAGAGATAAACCACAGAACTTATATGCATGTATGCATGAACAATGGACATGGACAACAAAGCTCAGGACAGGGTGGAGAGGGAGGAGGAGGAGGGTATCAGTGGAGTGAAAAGGAGAAACATTTGTAACAAAAATAAATTAATTTTTAAAAAATGTGTATATATATATATATATGATGGAATATTATTCAACTGTAAAAATGAAGGAAATCTTGTCACATTCTACAACATGATGAACCTTGATGACATCATGCTGAGTGAAATAAGCCAGGACAAATACTATATGATTTTTGTAATACATCTAGAGTAGTTCAAATCATAGTAACAGAAAGTAGCATGGTAGTTGCCAGGGGTTGGGTGAGGAGGAAATTTTACCATCGTTAAATGAGATTCACTCAAAAGCATATTTTTTGTACTTGAAAATGTTGTAAAAATGAATATATCTGTTGTAAATATTAATTAAAATTTCAACTATTTGGATAAATGGATGTCTTAAAATTGGTTTTCAAAGTCTTTCTCTCAGTTTTGTAGTAGGTGCTGTCTCTCCTGCCATTGTTGTCCCTTCCATGCTACTTTTGCAAAAACATGGATATGGTACTGAGAAAGGCATTCCAACCTTACTGATAGCTGCTAGCAGTTTGGATGACATCATAGCTATCACTGGATTCAGTACATGCATGGGCATAGCCTTCTCCACAGGTAAAAAGGAAAATATAACTACTGCCATATAATTCATAAATTTTTGGTGCTATTGTTAATAGTTCTTTAAATAAGGTTTCTACCTTTCCTTCATTTATTAACCAAGACTTTTTTATCTTTAACATCATTTTATTCTTCATAGAAAGCTCATTCTAGAGGAAATTTCAGTGGGTTAAGAAACCACTACTTAACATAAATGATTTCATTTTAATAACCATATATTTCAATTAATTTGGTAACTATTTTATTACCATTTATCTGCTCATATTGCTTTGAAATTTTATAGTTTTCAATGGAAAATTTTAAGCAGCAATATTATTAGTACTACTAATATATTTAATAGATATTTTTGAAATATACCTTTTGGCCATTATTATGAATAAATGGTTTCTCTATTATTAAGACAACTTAAATATACAGAGCACAGAAACTGTGTGCCTTTTGATAGTGGTGGGACAAGATCCTGTGCCAGTTCTGAATCCTAAGTTGATATTTGGTCTTGAATGTCACTCTACAGAACTTGTGAAAGTAAACATTTCCACATTTAGTAATACTTTCATTATCTGCAATATTTGAAATTTAGTCCTCTGTATTTTTGAAGCACCAAAATATTTTTAAGTTGAAAAGTAATATGTAAAATTTCTCTTGAAATAATAAGATATAAATTTTTAAAGGAAAAAATAAAAATGATATCTGCAATAGTCATATCCCAGGAATAATAATGCTTAATATTTTGATGTAAGTCCACCCAGACCCTATCTATCTCTCTGTCAATCATCTATCTATCTATCTACCTACCTACCTATCTTACCATCTTTCTCTTTCTCATTTTTTCTCTCTGCTCCAATAGTCTTATAAAATTATTGAACATTGACCATACTTGCTTATAACCTGAGTTGTTTTGCATTTAACTGTATATTACATACATGTTTCTCTTCAATAAATAATATTTCTGTGACATTTTAAGGGTTGCATAGTACTCATCTGGCTGCATTATAACTACTTGTTGAAAACTGAAGTTACCAATATCTACTATTAAAATAATACGTGATTAAACATCTTATAGCTAAATAGTTGTACCTAAACTTAATATTTTCTTAACCTTAAAAGTGCAATTGTTGTCCTGGTCAGTTTGGCTCAGCAGTTAGAGCGTCACCCTGTGGACCAGAGAGGCCCGGGTTCGGTTCCCACTAAGGGCATGTACCTTGGTTGCAGTTTGTCCCCGGCCCCGGTTGGGATCGTGTGGGTGGCAACTACTCGATGTGTTTCTCTCACGTTGATGTTTCTCTTCCCCCCCCCACTCCTTCCCACTCTATCTGAAGATAAATGCAAAAATGTCCTCAGGTGAGGATAAAAAGAAAAAAGTGTAATTGTTGAGCTAAAAAAGTATATAGAGTTATGAGCTTTTGAAATATATTGCCGCAATGTAATGTCCTACCCTGGTGCACAAGCTTGCCACTTTCTCTTCATCCTTTTCAAAACTAGGTATTGTTCATCTTTTTTACCTTTTCTAATTTGGTAGGTGAAAAGCGAGGCCTCTTTAAATGAAGTACTTTTACTACTAGTGATGTTAAACAAATATTCATGTTTATTGGTCATTAGCACGTTGGTATGTTTTATAAATTGCTTTTCTTGAAATCATTTGCCTTATCTTATGTGTCCATCTTTTGTTCTTTTTGATTTGTCAAGATTCTTCATAAAATTAAGAATAATAACCCTTTGTTTTATATTCTTAGTTTTCCCTGTTTTAAATTTGACCTTTAACGTTATAAGAGTTCTTTTTTGGCATTCAGAAGTTCTAAATTTTTTACTGACAAATCTAGTAATCTTTTCCTTCATTACTGGTGTCAGTTATTCTTTCCTTCTTTCTTTCTCTCTCTTTTTTTTTTTTTTTTTTTGGTTAATCCTCACCCCAGGATATTTTTCCATTGATTTTTAGAGAGAGTGGGAGGGGAGGAGGGAGGGAGAAAGAGAGAAACGTCAATGTGAGAGAGATGCATCGATTGGTTGCTCCCAAACAACCCCAACCAAGGCCAGGGATCGAACCCAGAACCCAGGGACATGCCCTTGACTGGAACTGAAGCCAAGACCCTTCAGTCCACAGGCCAACACTTTAACCACTGAGCAAAACTGGCCAGGGCTCAGTTATTCTTGTAAAAAATATTTCTGCGCTCCTCTTCCATTGTGCCAATTACTGTGCCAAACACTGAGGATAAACAGTGAACAAAAATATTACTGAGTAATTGCTTGGTACTCATTCTAAGTTCCACAGATGTTCCCACTGTTTTAATAGTCACAATAGTGCCATGCTCATTTTACAGATAGGGAAACTGAGATGAAATAACTTGCTCAAAGTAACGAATCCAAAAAGTAGGGGAGCCGAGATACAAATCTGGCAGTCTGACACCAGACCCGCACCTTTAAGTACTATTCTGTACAGATATAGTTGCATAAAATGTATTGAAAAGTCAGTTGACCCTTAAGTAGTCCCAGGATTGACCCTAGAATAAATCTTTTCTTTATGTTGTTATTGTTAAGTTGTTCTTTTCTATTTAAATCATTTTCTTCATAATAGTACATCAGAAAAGAAACATCATCAGCCTTGTGCTAGATGTCATAGGTGCTTCTTTGTCAATCTCTGTCCATTCTTTTCCTTCACCTGATTTTAGGCAGGGTGTGTAAAGGGGGCACATTGTAGCTTATTACTTCTTTGTTTTCTGGCCTATTTATTCAATAAGCATTTCTGAGATGAGTGTACTAAATTATTTAAGAGTACACATTTATCAAATAGATCTGTATATGCTTTTATATTGTTAATATTAAAGTTTCATTTTTGTATATTTGTTCTATGAAATACATACTTTTCTTGATGAATCACCTAGGTTTGATTTTCTGATGTGTTGGGTATGTAAAAATATTTCTCCATGATATGTTTTCCTTATGTGTGCCCTTATAGGTAATGTATTTTCTAATCTCCTACACTCTTTTCGGAATATAGTTTCTGGTATCCTGCTAGGAGTGGTTTTGGGAATTTTTGTTCGCTATTTTCCAAGTGAAGATCAGGTAAATAAAAAATTAGTCAACTTTTAGAAGTATAGTATTAGCTATTTTTTTCAAAATTTGAACTTTTAGGAGAACCATGAAATATTAAGTTTAATATTTATTGTCCTTTCCCAAAAGTAGCTTCCAATGCCTACTCTGCTTAAAACTTGGCAAATGAGAAACATTAGAAAAAAAATTTAATGAAGTGCTGGGTAAATCTTTTACATGTAATGGTGTTGATAGAAAAAAATATATACATTTTTTATAATACATTTTTAAAATATTTATTTTGGCCCTAGCCAGTTTGGTTCAGCAGTTAGAGTGTCAGCCCATGGACCAAAGGGTCTTGGGTTCAATTCCCAGTCAAGGGCATGTACCTGGGTTGCAGGTTTGATCCCTGGCCCTCAGTTGGGGGGATGTGCAGAAGGCAACCAATCTATGTGTCTCTCTCACATAGATGATTCTCTCTACCTCTCTCGCTCTCTTTCTCCCTTTCACTCTAAAAAAACAAAATCAATGAAAAAAATCCTCAGATGAGGATATATATATATATATATATATATATATATATATATATTTGAAACCTTTTCTGTTGTGAACAGAGATAACATTTTTTCATTATGCTGTTAGTTTTAAGGTTAAGCTTTCTAATACATAATACATTTGCAATGGATACGTTAGTTAGTTAGTTAGTTAGTTCTCACCTGAAGATATAAGTATATTTTTTCCGTTGTTTTTTGTTTTTGTTTTTGAGAGTGAAAGGGAGAGACAGGGAGACAGAGAGAGAAAGAGAAACATCAAAGTGAGAGAGACACGTAAACTGGTTTCCTCCTGTACAACCCCTGGGGATCAAACCTGCAACCCAGGTACTTGCCCTTGACCTGGAATCAAACCCGAGACCCTTACATGCACGGGCTGATGCTTCAATCGCTGAGCCACACCAGCTGTATACTTCTTTTTTTTTAATGTACTAAATTCAGGGTACCGTCTCCATTCCACACCACCCCTTTCTTCACTAAATTGCCTGTTGACTTCTGACATTTTTTCTAATCTTTTTTACCTCACACTTTCTCTTGAACATTTTAGGGGAGATAGATTTCCATTTACCTCTGGAGAGTTTCTGAATTAAATTCACTGTCACTCCCTTTGACTAAGGCAACACTACTAAACCCAACCCCTTCCTGCCCTAAAGAATGTGCCATTACTCTTGCATTTCACTAACTTCCATCTTGATTTGCCTGTAACAACTATCATAGCTAATGAGATACTCAGAAATTTATATTTAATAATTCAAGTTATATAGAACTACAGGTTATATTGGTCTCTTGTCTTTCCTTCTTCACTTACAGTTAGAATATTTTCACCATTTTACTGACATTACTAACAGAGATGTGGCAGAAGATAAAACTTAGTAATTACAAATTTTGTCACTTAGTACCAAGTCTGCTAAAATATTTGGTGAGGAAAGAAAGCCAAAATTTTAGACATTGTTTAATGCAACATATAAAGATATGATATCGAAAGGTCAATAATAACTGATAATGTAAATATTGTATTATATATTTAATGTAAATAATTTGTAAAAAATTTTCTAATTCTAGACAAATCTTGCATTGAAGAGAGCATTCCTTGTTTTGAGTATGTGTGTTACTACTGTCTTAGTCAGCAATCACTTTGGTATACATGGAGCTGGAGGATTATGCACACTAATGCTGACTTTCATTGGAGGACTGAGTTGGTCCAAAGATAAGGTGAATATTTTTAATACATCATTTTTTAAAGATAAAATAACTGCATTTTAAATATATATATGTATATATATATATAATGGACATTTAGGAAACTTCCTCATTCTAGTTATAAGATGTTCCAGAAGTTTGTGTCTTTGAGGAAATACAAAAACCAGTAAGGGAAATAAAGTATTTAGGGAAAGGACCTGCACTTACTCTGAAACGCAATCAGGAGTTGAATTATCACATTAGGCCCACTTTTCCCCCAAGTTTTATACAATATGATTGTATACCTTTATTGCTTTGATTACTTTATTAATTAAAATTTTAGTTGTACAGTTAATACATGAAACATGCTCATAGAAGATTAAACAATACAGGAGGGTCACATATAGGATAAATTGTAAAAGACCCCTTTTCCCCACCACTCCCAAATATCAAACACCCCTTCCCCAAATTAATCATTTCCTCTAATCAGTCCTCTATTTGTAGACATTTAGATTATTTCCATTTTTTGTTATTACAAACAGTGCTGCCATGAACAAGCCTATTGATTTGGCTTTTTGCAAATGCAAAGTACTTCTGTAGGAATATATTCCTAGAAATGGAATTGCTGAATTTAGAAATGGTACATTTCTATTTGATGGATACTGCCAAATTATCCATTTGAGAGATGTTATTTATTTACTACCAACAGTGTATGAGAGTCCCTAATACCTCAACCCATCAACATGCTGGATAGTATCACTAGTTCTATTATTTTATTCTGATGGATAAAAAACTATATAACATTATTCATGAAATATTACCCAACCATAATAAAAAAGAACAAAATCTTGCCATTTGCAACAACATGGATGGATGTAGAGTACTGTGCTAAGTGAAATAAGTCAGACAGAGAAGGCCAAATACTGTATTATTTTACTTGTATGTGTAATTTAAAAAACAAACAAAACAAAAATAGACTCAGATACAGAAAACAAACTGATAGTTGTCAGAGGGGAGTGGTGTGGGGAAATGAATAAAAAAAGTGAAGGACAATAAGAGGTACAAACTTCCAATTACAAAATAAATAATTTACAGTGATATAATGTATAGCACAGAGAATATAGTCAATAGTATTGTAATAATTTTGTTTAGAATGTCTTTCATCTGGAAGTAAAATTTCCTGTAGTCGAACCTCTCAGTACTTCCTTTTCTTATTTTGTATTCAGTATCTTATTTAAGAAGGATTTTTTTACTCAAGAATATAAACATTAGAATATCTTCTATATTATCATCTAATACTTGGATAGCTTTTGTATGTTTTGGTTTTGCATTTGGCTCTTTATTTCACCTGGAATTTATTTTTGTGAATGCTGTGAGATAAGGATGTATATATGTGCGTATCTCTATCTCTCTCTCTCTCTATATATATATATATATATATACACACACACACATATAGTAGTTGTATATACATATAAATGGATATAAATTGGATAGTCAATTTTTGCCAAATTATTTATTAACCACCCATTAATTATTCAGTGACATTTAGATGCTTCTTTTAGCATGACCTAAACCCTCACATATATCTAAGTTCATTTCTGGAAGCTAATCCTATTATCTATTCCTACCGATACTCTACTTTAAGTTTATTTTAAATCATAAGTCATAGTTTTATGTCTCAAAATCTAATACAGAAAATTTCCCCTCATTGTACTTATTGTTAAAGTATCATTTAGCTGTTCCTGCCCATATTCTTTCTTAAATTTTAGAATCAGCTTGAGAAATTCCCTACGCAAAAACTACACTGATAGTTTGTTTGGTGTTCTAATGAAATAATAATTATAAAGGAAATTAAATAGTTGATAATATATTTTAATTAGATAAATAAAATGAAAACTATTCAAATTCTCTTTTTATATGATAAAGGAAATCAGACAGTAAAAAATAGACTTTAAAGATTAAAAGTTATAAATAAGATAATGTGCTATAAACAGGGAAGAGTAATGTTGTTTATTGTTTTTCCCTCTTTTAAGCTTCACTCTTATAAATGGCAATCAGAAACCCAGACATAAAAGAAAAAGCTATAGTTTTTTTCCAGTTATTTAATTAATTTTTGATACAGATGTTTCTCCTTTTTCCCTCATTGACTCCCTCCTCCTAGTAACACCACCCCCTCCCAGAATTGTTGTCTATGTCCATTGGTTATGCTTATATGCATAAGTTCTTTGGTTTATCTCTTCCCCGCACCCCTCCTCTACAGTTTATCAGTCTGAAGCCTATTTCCTCAGACTGTTATGTTCATTATATTCTACAAATAAGTGAGATCATGCGATATTGTCTTTCTCTGCTTGGCTTGTTTTGCTTAGCATAATACTCTCCAGGTCCTTCCATGTCATCTCAAAGGATAAAAGATCATTCTTTCTTACAGCTGCATGGTACTCCATTGTGTATATGTACCACCGCTTTTTTTATCCATTTGTCTACTGATAGACACTTGGGCTGTTTCCAGATCTTAGCTGTTGTAAATAGTGCTGCTATGAACATGGGGGTACATATATTCTTTCTGATTGGTGTTTCAGGCTTCTTAGGGTATATTCCTAGAAGTGAGATCACTAGGTCAAATGGAAGTTCAAGTTTTAATTTTTTGAGGTAACACCATATTGTTATCCATAGTGGCTGCACCAGTCTGCATTCCCACCAGCAGTGTACTAGAGTCCCCTTTTCTCCACATCCTCGCCAACACTTGTTTGATGATATGTTGATGGCGGCCATTCTGACAGGTGTGAGGTGACACCTCATAGTTGTTTTAATGTGCATCTCTCTGATGATTAGTGATGTTGAGCATTTCTTCATATGTCTCTTGGCCATTTGTATGTCATGTTTGGAGAGGTGTCTATTCAGCTCCTCTGCCCATTTTTTAATTGGGTACTTTGTCTTCCTTTTGTTGAGCTGTATAACCACTCTATATATTTTGGAAATTAATCCTTTATCTGATATATCATTGGCAATTATGCTCTGCCATACAGTTGGTTGCCTTTCCATTTTGGTGATTGTTTCTTTTGCTGTGCAGAAGCTTTTTAGTTTGATGTCGTCCCATGTGTTCATTTTTTTTCTTTGTTTCTGTTGCCTTAGGTGATGTATCAGTGAAAATTCTGCTATGTAAGATGTCCGAAATTTTGTTACCTACATTTTCTTCTAGGATTTTTATGGATCCATAAGTCACATTTAAGTCTTTTATCCATTTTGAGTTTATTCTTGTGTATGGTGTAAGTTGATGGTTTAGTGTCATTTTTTTTGCATGTAGCTGTCCAATTTTCCCAATATCATTTATTAAAGAGGCTCTCTTTACTCCATTGTATGTTCTTGCCACCTTTGTCAAATATTAATTGAGCATAATATTTGGGTCAATTTCTGGGTTCTCTGTTCTGTTCCACTGATCTATATGCCTGTTCTTGTACCAGTACCAGGCTGTTTTGATTACAGTAGCTTTGTAGTATAACCTGATATCCCGTATTGTGATCCCACCTACTTTGTCCTTCTTTTTCAAGATTGCTGTGACTATTTGGGGTCTTTTTAGGTTCCATATGAACTTTGAAGTATTTGTTCTAGTTCTGTGAAATATGTCATTGGTATTTTGATGGTGATTGCATTGAATCCATAGATTCCTTTGGGTAGTATGGACATTTTAATGATGTTAATTCTTCTAATCCATGAACAAGGTATGTGCTTCCATTTTTTATATCTTCCTCTATTTCTTTTTTCAATGTCCTGAAATTTTCTGCAAATAGGTGCTTTATTTCTTTGGTTAAGTTTATTCCTTGGTATCTTAATTTTTTGCCACAATGGTAAATGGGATTGTCTTTTTAGTTTCTCTTTCTGTGAGTTCATCATTGATGTATAAAAATGCCGTCAATTTCTTGATGTTAATTTTGTATCCTAATACTTTGCCAAATTCATTTTAAAAAATATTTTTTATCCTCACCTGAGGACATTTTTACATTTATCTTTAGATAGAGCAGAAGGGAGAGAGGGTGGAAGAGAAGAGAGAAACATCGATGTGAGAGAGACACATCGAATGGTTGCCACCCACATGAACCTACATTTTCTTCTCGGGGTTGGGGGACAAACTGCAACCAAGGCACGTGCCTTTAGTGGGAACCGAACCCAGGCCTCTGGTCCAAGGGCTGACGCTCTAACTACTGAGCAAAACTGGCCAGGGCACCAAATTCATTTTTTAAGTCTAGTAGATTTTTGATGTAGTCTTTAGAATTTTCTGTGTGTAATATGTAATCTGTGAATAATGACAGTTTCACTTTATCCTTTCCAATTTGGCTCCCTTTTATTTTTCTTCATGTCTGATTGCCGTGGCCAAGACTTCCAGTACTATGTTAAATAAGAGTGGCAAAAGTGGGCATCCCTGTCTTGTTCCTGTTCTTAAGGGGAAAGGCTTTTAGTTTTTGCCCATTAAGAATGAGGTTGGTTGTCGGTCTTTCATATATGGCCTTTATTATGTTGAGATATGATCCCTCTATTCCCACATTGCTGAGTTGTTGTTGTTGTTTTTTCTTATTTTCTTCTTTGTTTTTTATTGTTTTTATTTTATTTTATTTTATAATTTTTTTGCTGAGCATTTTTGTCAGAAATGGGTGCTGGATTTTGTCAAATGCTTTTTCAGTGTCTATTGATATGATCATGTGATTTTTATCTTTCATTTTGTTTATGTGATGTATAACATTTATTGATTTGTGAATATTGTATCAGCTGTGCAGCCCTGGGATGAATCCCACTGATTTTTTTGATGTATTGTGGATCTGATTTGCTAGTATTTTGTTCAAGATTTTGGCATCTATGTTCATCAGGGATATTGGCCTGTAGTTTTCTTTCTTTGTAGTTTCTTGTTCTGGTTTTGGAATTACAATTATGCTGGCGTCATAAAATGAGTTTGGAAGTCTTCTTTATTCTTGAAATTTTTGGAATAGTGTGAGGAGAATGGGTGTTAGTTCTTCTTTGAATGTTCAGTAAAACTCCCCTGTGAAACCATCCAGGCCTGGGCTTTTGTTTGCTGGGAGAGTCTTGATTACATCTTCAATTTCTTTTGTTGTTATTGGTATGTTCAAGTTTTCTATCTCTTCCCGGTTTCCTTTTGGGAGACTATGTGTTTCTAGAAATTTGTCCATTTTGTTTCAATTGTCAAATTTGTTGGCATATAATTGTTCACGGTATTTGTTAATGATCCTTTGTATTTCTGTGGTGTCAGTTGTTTCTTCTCCCTTTCATTTCTGATTTGTGTATTTGGGTTCTCTCTCTTTGTTTCTTGGTGAGTCTAACTAAGGGTCCATCAATCTTGTTTATTGTTTCGAAAAACTAGTTCTTTGTTTCATTGATCCTTTGAATTGTTTTTTTTAGTCTCTATGTCATTTATTTTTGCTCTGATCTTTACTATTTCCTTCCTTCTACTTGTTCTGGGGTTTTCTTTTTGTTTCCTTTCTAGTTCTTTAAGTTGTGAGGTTAGATAGTCTATTCGAAATTTTTCTTGTTTCTTGAGGCATGCCTGTAGTGCTATGAACTTCCCTCTCAAAACTGCTTTCGCTGCATCCCATAGATTTTGTGTTGTGTGTTCATTTCTATTGGTTTCCGGGAAGTTTTTAATTTCTTACTTGATCTCCTCGGTGACCCATTCATTGTTTAATAACATGCTATTTAGCTTCAATGTGTTCAAATGTCTTTGCATGTTCTTGTTGCAATTTATTTCTAGTTTCATGCCATTGTGATCTGAGAAGATGCTTGATATGATTTCAATCTTCTTGAACTTGTAGAGACTTAATTTGTATCTTAACATCTGGTCTGTCTTTGAGAATGTCCCATGTGCACTTGAGAAGAATATGAATTCTGTAGTTTTGTGGTGTAATTTTCTGTTAACATCTATTAAATCCATTTGATCTAGTGCTTCATTTAGGGTCTCTGTTTCCTTGTTAATTTTTGTGTTTAGAGGATCTATCAAGTGATGTCAGTGGGGTGTTGAATTCCCCTGCTATGACTGTAATTCTGTTGAAGTCCTCCAGATTTTTAATAAATCTTGGTGCTCCTATATTGGGTGCATATGTGTTTACTAAGGTCATATCTTCCTGTTGGATAGATCCTTTCAATATTATGTAGTGGCTTTTTTTGTCTCTAGTTATGGCCTTCATTTTTAAATCGATTTTATCAGATATGAGTATTGCTACCCCAGCTATTTTCTCCTTTCTGTTTACTTGGAAGATTTTTTTTCATCTCTTCACTTTCAACCTATATGAGTCTTTTGTTGTGAGGAGGGTCTTTTATAAACAACATATATGTGAGTCATGCTTTCTTATCCAATCAGCTACTCTGTGTTTTTTATCAAAACATTCAAATCATTTACATTTAAGGTGATTATTGATATGCACTCATTTATTGCTATTTTTGTTTAGTGTGGTTATAATTTTCTTTCCTATTTCTTCTACTAATTATAGCAGTCCTTTTAACATTTCTTACAGTGCTGTTTTGGTGCTAATATATTCCCTTAGCCAATTTTTTTTTTTTTTTTTTTTTGTCTGGGATGCTCTTTATTTGACCTTCTATTTTGAATGATAGCCTTGCTGGATAGAGTAGTCTTGGATTCAAATCCTTGTTTTTCATGACCTTGATTACTTCATGCCATTCCCTTCTGGCCTGTAGTGTCTGTTGAGAATTCAGCTGATAGCCTTATGGGGGTTCCTTTGTAGATAACCTGTTGCTTATCTCTTGCGGCCTTTAGGATTCTTTCTTTGTCTTTAATTTTTGGCATTTCAATTACTATGTGTCTTGGTGTGGGCCTGTTTGGGTTCTTCTTACTTGTGGCTCTCTGTGCTTCTTGAACTTGAATGCCTTCTTCCTTCACCAAATTAGGGAAATTTTCTGTCACTATTTCTTCATATATATTCTCTAACCCTTGCTCATTTTCTTTTTCTTCGGGGATTCCTATGATATAAATATTATTACATTTACAGTTGTCCCACTGTTCTCTTAAGCTGTCTTCCTGTTTTTTCCTTTTGGTTTTCTGATTGGTTGATTTTTTTTTCTACCCTGTCTTCTAATTCACTGATCCGGTCCTCGGCTTCCTCTACTCTGCTGGTTAGTCCTTCCAATGTGGTTTTTATTTCTGCTATGTCATTCTTTATTTCTTGTTGGTTTTTCATTTCCACTTGGTTGATTTTTAGTACTTCTATATCTTTACTCATGGTGTTGATGTTTTTACTCATGCTGTTCAGTTTCCTCAAGATCATGGCTCTGAACTCCACCTCTGATAACTTGCTTAACTGCATTTCCTTTATCTCATCTTTGATAGAGGTCTCTTCTTTCATTTGGGATTTGGTTTTTTGTTTCACCATTTTGGCTATCTCAGTCAGTTTTGGAGCCTGCTAAATTTCCCCTGTGGGTGTTGGTGTTCTGCTGTTTGTGGCTCCCTCTACTGGGTTTTGAAGAGTGTGGGAGGACCCATGTTAAACACCACTGTGAAGTCTTACTTTCCTGGGTAGATTTGCAAGCCCAGTAAAGGTTCATTTATGCTCTAGCTTTTTGCCTGGAGGCTATTAGTCTCAGTTACTTGAAGAGCCTTGGGTTCCAAGTTGAATGAAAAACTCCCTCAGGTGTTCATCATAAGATTTCCTGAGGATGGGGCAGATGCTGGTTGTTTTTGAGCCCCAATTTGCATTTCTTTGGCCAGCTGGGTGGGGTTAAATCTCATAGGGAGGAAAAATCTCAGAGCCCTGGGAAAGAGCAAGATGGCCACTGTCCTACATGGCCGCAATTCAGAAAAAACTCTGAGCACCCTCCAAATCCTGAGTGTCCCCACACAGTTCCAGTCCAGTCCGCCCTCCCTCTGCCAGAGCCCAAGGTGAGTGACTGTAGCTAATTTAGTGCTCTGTCCCAGCCCTCTGCGTTGTGGAGCTGGCTTGAGATTTTAACCCTGAGGTCACTGCTCACAGCTAAGACCACTGCTATCCCTGGGCTCCCAGCTCCACTCTGATGCCTCCGCAGACCTACCAGGCTCGATTCAATGTCCCTGGTTATATGGTCCTCTCAAGCTACTTTTTTGTTCCTTTTTCCCAATAATTTCTTTATTTTAGTTGTAATTCCCATTTAGTCCTGGGCGATGATCTGTGTAGCTTCCATTCACTCTGCTGCCGTTTTGGAATCCCTCATAGTCATTTTATTTTGCATCTCTCTGATGATTACTGATGTTGAGCATTTTTTCATATGTCTCTGGGCCATTTATATGTCCTTTTTGGAGCGGTGTCTATTTAGGCCCTCTGCCCATTTTTTAATTGGGTTCTTTGTCTTCCTTTTGTTGAGTGTATGAGTACCCCATATGTTTTGGAGATTAACCCCTTATCTTATGTATTGTTGGCAGTTATGCTCTCCCATATAGTGGGTTCCCTTTCCATTTTGATGCTTGTTTCTTTTGCTATGCAAAAGTTTTTAGTTTGATGTAGTCCCATGTATTAACTTTTTCCTTTGTTTCTCTTGCCTTAGGCATTATATCAGTGAAAATTCTACTGTGTGTCATGTCTGAAATTTTGTTGCCTACATTTTCTTCTAGGATTTTTATGGATTCATGAGTCAGATTTAAATCTTTTATCCATTTTATTTTATAGCTTTGTAGATGTCTTTTGGTCAAATTCTACCTAAGTGTTTGAGTAAAAGAATTAACCAGCTCAATTAATTTTAATTGTTTTAACATTTCTCCTACAAATAAAATGTCTCAATTTTATATATTAAAGTAGACTTTAAATTTCTGAAATGCAGTTATTTTTATGTGCCACAATAACTAAAAATGTATTACTCTTTTCTACAGATTGGAGTCCAAAATGTTATTTCAATTGCATGGAATATTTTTCAGCCCCTTCTTTTTGGTTTGGTTGGATTGGAAGTATCTGTTGCATCTCTTAAATCAAATGCTATAGGTAAGAATGATTATAGGCACAAAAAATATGACTTGTAAATACTTAAGAAAATTATGAATAATTTTTATTACAGCATGTCTTTGAATGCTACATGGACCTTCTTCAGAAACTCATGTTGAGACAACATACATTTGTTCTTCGTTACCTTGTTTCCTCTTAGTTACCAAAGACAGTCCTATATCTTTCCTGAGCAACCCAAGGAAATGGAGATTAGAATTCTTTTCTGAGGGGAAATTTTAAATACCATCAGCACCTTTTAAATACTTTCATTTATAATAAAAGTTCAAAACCTATTAGCTCAGATTAAATAATGTAATTTATCTTATCTTTCACAGTACCTCCGCCATCAGATAATCTCTTGCTCTTTATATACAGGCCTCAATCATATTTGTATTTTTTTATGATTATTATTTTTACTTAAAAAATATAGAAAGAGGCAATAGCCTTAAAATGTTTTCAACACTTTTACAAATCATATCTCCAGACATAAAGAACCACTTGTTCCAAGTATTTTGTTATTTATGTTGTTTTTATCTGTTGTAGGCGTTTCTGTTGCTACCATGAGTTCGGCATTATTGATGCGAATTTGTTTTACTTTTATTTTGATGTCTTGTGCTGGTTTTAATCTTAAGGAGAAAATATTTATTGCTCTGTCATGGATACCCAAAGCTACAGTCCAGGTAAGAACATATTAAGTCATTCTAATACTTTTAATGTTGATTTTTAAAAATTCTAAATGACATATGTTTGTCCAATCACAAAATATGGGCTATTAGCCTTCCTTTTAAAATGCTTGGTTGAGCATAACTACTCAATAAAATTAATGTAATCTTTTAAAATCTCAGTTTTAAAATCAATTCTCCTGAAATTAAAATATAATTTAATATAAATACTTCCTTAACTTATGAAAATAGTTTTCTCTTTTTCCAAAGTATAAAATAAGTATATCTAAAAATTGGATTTTTGAATTTTGCTGAATACTGTGGAGCTAGATGTTATGATTTTAAAGTAGAGACACATTGATTCTTTTAAAAATATATCTTTTCTATTCCTTCCACCCACTCTACTACACATGAATGCACATATGTTATTATTAATTACACATTTATTTTGTACGATTATTTGATTACTGACTGAATCTTCCCACTAGATCGCAGGGAAAGGATAGGGACCATGTCTGGGTTCTTCCCCCCATTGTTTTCCCCTAGCATTTAGCACAGTGCTCAGGAAGCAAGAAATACACAATAAATAACCATTGTACTCCTACAAGAATGAACAAATGAATTATGTAGTTTTGTCCTCGAATTCAATGATATTCCCTCCTACCAAAAAAGGTATTACTACTTATCGTTAGACTTTTCTTAATCCTCACTCGAGGACATTTTTGCATTTATCTTCAGATAGAGCAGGAGGGAGAGAGCAAGGAAAAGAGAGAGAGAAACATCGATATGAGAGACACATCGACTGTTTGCCACCCACATAACCCCAACCAGGGCCGGGGACAAACTGCAATCAAGGTACGTGCCCTTAGTGGGAACTGAACCTGGGTCTCTCTGGTCCATGGGCCAATGCTCTAACCACTGAGTCAAACCGGCCAGAACTATTGTTAGACTTTTTAACATGGCAGCATAATGTCTTGATTCCCTGAGATTTTTTTCTCCATTGTTATTTCAAAACGAAAGCTTATTAGCCTCCATGCAACAAAATTCTCTATGTGTCGTGGTTGGAAAACAGATCTATGGGGCCAAACTGCCCATTTTGAATACTATGTTACTTGCAAGTAAGTTCATAATCTCTCAGTGCCCAGTTTGTAGATTCCAAACTCCTTGTCTGTTCTTTTTTATATTTTTTTCTCTATTGATTTTAGACAGAGAGGAAGTGAGAGGGAGAGAGAGATAGAAACATCATTGAGAGAGAACATCGATTGGTCACCTCCTGCATACCCCACACTGGGGATCAGGCTCACAACCTAGGCATGTGTCCTGACCGGGAATCGAACCAGTGACCTCCTGGTGCATGGGTCAACGCCCAAACACCGAGCCACACCGGCCAGGCTTTCTTGTCAGTTTTATTATATCACACTGCCTCCCAAGTAGGAACGAGGAGAAGATGATCAGCAAAATCCTAGAGAGACATAAGAAACGTTAGTATTTTGGACTGTCTTGTTGCAGTCAAGAACCAAGTAGTACTTGGTAACAGCAAATAAGCAAAACCCTGGTTCCGTTAAAACTCGAGGTTCTGAGAGTAATGTGAGCACTCAAAATATATGTATATTTATTTTTGTTTTTTTTTCTTTTTTTAAAATATATGTATATTTAAACAGGGGAAAGCTGATATAACAAAAATACAAAATCAGCCCCAAAATATCTGCACTCTGATTTGTCACTATTTTACTCTTCCTCCAGATATATTCACTAGGAAGGACACTGAGTTAATGGTTAAGTCATAAAAATCCCTCGGCACTTTAAGTCTTGCTTCTTTTCTAATGGTATAGTACAGCTATTTTCAACCTTTTTCATCTCAAGGTACACATAAACTAATTACTAAAATTCTGTAGCACACCAAAAAATATTTTTTGCTGATTTGACAAAAACAAAATAGATGTAACTTTGATTCATGCACACTGGACGGCTATTGTTGTGTGGGCTGTTGTTATTTTTTTATCTGACAATCAGAGCCCCTGACTAAATAGTCAAGTATTACATGTTTTAAAAATTCTTGGGGCACACAGGTTGAAAATCGCTGGCCTAGTACTAGGTTTTGTTTACAGAGCCATTTGCTTTTATGATATGTTAACTGTGCTTAACATTTTTCCTTATGTTTCATCTTCCCTAACCCACCCCACCCAAATGCAGGCTGTATTAGGTCCTCTGGCTCTAGAAACAGCAAGAACCAGTGCACCCAACTTGGAACCATATTCGAAGGATGTGATGACTGTAGCATTTTTAGCCATCTTGATCACAGCTCCAAATGGAGCTCTAATTATTAACTTGCTGGGGCCCAAATTACTTGCACAACAGGATCCAAACAAAATAGTAGTGTAATTGACAATGTTAGAACTTCATTAAAAGCTCATTTGTCATCACTTGCCTGCTTCTCTTAATGAATTATCTTACATGAGATAAAAGTGAAAAGGTACAAAAATTTGAAGACTACATAGAACCAAGGATTTAATAAATGTGTGACGATTACAAAGTTTTTCTATTATTTTTTTTAATCCCCATTCGAGGATATTTTTCCATTTATTTTCAGAGAGAGTGGGAGGGAGAGGGAGGGAGAGAGAGAGAGAGAGAGAGAGAGAGAGATCAATGTGAGAGAGACACACCGATTGGTTGCTTCCCACACAACCCCAACCAGGGCCAGGGACCAGACTGCAACTGAGGCACATGCCCTTGACCAGAATCTAACCCAAGACCCCCTGGTCCATGGGCCAACGCTCTAACCGCTGAGCCAAACCAGCCAGGGCTAAGATTTTTTATTGCAAAGTTAATTTAATAAAAACAATATAAAATTCGTATTTGCATATTTCAAAAACAGGATAAATCTATAAATACCCTAGGAAAGTTTGATCCATCAGGCTGAATTACTCTCCTCACCACCTCTCTCTGTTGCTTTTTGCTCATATAAACCTCTGAACTTCAGCGGCCCTCACTGACCACATCATCGTTTCCTGTCCTCTCTCCAACAGTTCGCATCTATATCAGCTCATCTGTCTCAAGTTTTCTTTTTCTTTCACTGATAACATACTACTTAAAAGTCTGTTGGCAACAATTAATATAAACTTCCACAAAGTAGTCGTTGGATGTGCACTTCAAGAAGGAGGGAGTGTAATTTGGGCAACATGGTTCCTTTTATCTGAGAGCAATTACTGCAGAGGGACTTGGTTCGAGCCCACAACAGAGGAAGCTGGCAGGGGAATGAGTGCCTCTGCCTTACACACACCACAGAGCACACTACTGTCCATCCCTTGTGCATTTGGATCTATTGCTTCATATAGTTTCACTGCATGTAGGAAGAGCTCCTCCAGGACTCTGGCTGGTTTCTTTTGCTGGTGAAATTTATGCAAGAACGTTGGTGGAATGAACTACAGCCCCTTAGTTTGGCAGCTGGTCTTGCACCCTCAGCTGATTATCTCCCTCCTCTGCTATCCGTTCTACATTCTTCTCACCCTCAGCTAGCACCTCTGCTGGTGTTGATCACTTACCTGGTGGAGGGACCCAAACCATCATCCCTGAAGTGTCTGAGCCCAGGTCACCATTCCTCCTCCACTGAATGTTGGATGCCACGCTCAAACTACACTTGCCTACTTAAATCAAATCATCAAAATTGAACAAGAGATTACCTGGAGATACCCCATTGGTTCACCTGACTGCCAAACACATTCCTCTCTGCTTCCATTTTGTACTGGAATTGAATTGCAACCACTGATTTATTTTTTTAATTATCTCTACAATTTTGGCTTCGAAATGAAATTTTTACTGGCACTTAACTTTATTTGGGGGATAGTTACTGGGTATCTATACTTTTAGTATCACTGTATCTTCTCAGTTTTTACTTTTATTATTATGTAGTGTAAGGGGATGAGTTTGAACATTTCAGGACTGATCAAGAAAATATATATATATATATGGCCATAAGGTGGCACTAGCACACAAGCGTTGTTTGGGTTATACTTCTACAGGTCTGTAGAAGGCCCTGACAACATGAGACCATCCAGAGACGTAAGGCCAGGGGGGCCACCATCCAGAAGGGGAGCAGGGCAAGCGAACTCCTGGGGTAGAGGCATGATAGGGCGTGTTTTAGTGCCTGGGGGGCTTACGTATGATGTCAGGCAGCAGTAGCATGGCAGGAAGTCTCTGGATCTGAAAATCTCAAAGGGTAGCAGCAACTTAGAATCTTTAGAGCCCAAGGCTCATTTTATCTGTGGCAAGCAGATTTTGGACAGTTTCAGTTTCGGTACAAGCAGGCAAACTCTAAAGGGCTAAAAATCTGCTTGTATTGGGCTATGTTTAAAACAATTGGATGTGTAGCCCTGGCCAGTTTGGCTCAGTGGTTAGAGCGTTGGCCTGCGGTCCGGAGAGACCCGGGTTCGGTTCCCGCTAAGGGCACGTACTTCGGTTGCAGTTTGTCCCCGGCCCTGGTTGGTCGAGCGGGTGGCAGCCACTCGATGTGTCCCTTCACGTCGATGTTTCTCTCTCTCTCTCTCCCTCCCACTCTATCTGTACAAAAAATGGAAAAATATCCTCGGGTGAGGATAAAAAAAAAAAAAAAAAAAAAAAACAATTGGATGTGTAAAGTTTGGTTTGGAGCCAGGGGGCTTTTGAGCTAAGGGCCAATATACAAAGGCTATATCTTTGCCTTACGTACATAACATGTAGTGACTCTCTTTATCCCTCTTACCTTTTTTTATTATACTCATTTTTTTAAGTTTGTTTTTATTTGTATTGTGGTAAAATTTTAGTTTATTGTAGTTCGCTATCTTACTACTTATTATTCAAACTGCTTTTTAAAAAAATTTTTGTTAATCCTCACCTGATGATATTTTTTCCATTGAATTTTAGAAAGTGGGAGGGAGGGAGCGAAGGAGGAAGGGGGAGAGGGAGAGAGAGAGAGACACGTGGATTGGTTGCCTTCCATACATGCCCCGACCCGACCCCGACCTGCAACCCAGGTACCAGGTACATGCCACACTGGTCAGGGCTATTCAAACTGCTTTAATAGAAACTGTACTTCATTCTTTGCTCCCACTCAACTAAAACTGCTCTCAGTAAGGTCATCAGTGATCTTCATGTTATCAAATCTAATTGATGGTTTAAATGTTCTTATTGTGCCCAGGCGGTGTGGCTCAGTGGTTGAGCATCGAACCATGCTCCAAGAGGTTGCCAGTTAAATTCCTGGTCACGGCACATGCCCAGGTTGTGGGCCCAATCCCCAGTGAGGGGCATGCAGGAGGCAGCCAATTGATGTTCTCTCTCATTGATGTTTCTGTCTCTCCCTCTGTCTTCCTCTCTCTCTAAAACCAATAAAGAAAATATATTTTAAAAAATAAATAAAAATAAAATTTTCTTATTGTGTACACACGTTTAATTTATATATTAAATAACATACATGGAATTTAGTATTTTGCTTTCCTTTTGGTTTGCCTCCTCTCTCCTCTCCTCTTCCATCCAAATTTCCTCTCCAAATGGTGTCATCTTTACTAAAGTATAACATTCCCATTTTTCTTCATGCTCGTAAAATTGTATGCAAATTTGTATATATATACATGCGCGTGCGTGCACGCACACACACACACATCCCAAAATAAACGTGTATATATACACACACACACAGGTGGGATTCAACATGGCTATAGTGTATCTCAATTTTTTTTTTTACTACTGCATAGAGTCAACTAATAGGGCTCTAATTTGTGTTTTCCACTAAGCTCAATATTATGATTTTTTAAAATGTGGTTCAGTGGATTGAACGTCCTCCTGTGGACTGAGAGTTCCCAGTTCTATTTCTGGTCAGGGCTCATGCCTGAGTTTCAGACTCGATCTCCCGCAGGGGGTGTGCAGGAGGCAGCCAGTTGGTATTTCTCGCTCACATTGATGTTTCTCTCTCTCTCCCTCTCCCTTGCTCTCTCCAAAAGCAATAAAGAAAAAATGTTTTTTAAATTTTTATTGAGATTATTTAAATAACACTGGAATATCTTTCTTGCAACCCTAATACTTTTAAAATTATGTTTTACTTGATATTATTAACATTTAAAATTTTGCCTTAGGTTACTTTCCATCATTTATGTTTTTCCAGGAAATTATGCATTTCCTTTAGATTGTCAATGCGTTGCTTTACAATTGCACAAAGCATTTTAAAGTGAACAATTTTCTATTGTCATCTTATTTCAGTTTTTTTTTTTTAATTCCTCACCCAAGGATATTTTTCCATTGATCATCAGATAGAGTGGGGGGAGGGGGATATCAATGTGATAGAGCCACATCAACTGGGTGCCTCCCGCACGACCCTGACCAGGGCCGATGACAAACTGCAAGCCGAGGTACGTGCCCTTGACAGGAATGGAACCCGAGACTCATTGGTCCAGGGGCCGACGCTCTAATTACTGAGCCAAACTGGCCAGGGCATCTTATTTCACTTCTTGACAGCATTCAAATTAGTTGAAAACTCTGTACTTCTAGGTTTTGAGTTTCTTAAATGTGTTGAATGGGTGTTATTGATGCCTATCTTTAGTGTGATAATGCAGAGGAATGCATGATGAATAGCAATAAAAATTACAGGAAATTTTTAAATTGGCTAAATTGTTAACAGTTTTATTTTCTCACTAGTACAGGGTTCATCTCTGTGATTATGCAATTTATTACCCTTTCCCCCTCTCCTATAGTATTTTGGAAAATTACAGCCTTATAATAGAGATCAGGAATTTGTTAACATTGTGGCTGATCTGTTTGACAACAGTGCTCTATGAGAATAGAGTCACAGATATATTATTTTTGTAAGCAAAGAATCAAGCACTTAAACCAAAGGGAAGTTAGACAGTGATCTCCTCTGACTTAAAGACATAGATATGCCTCTCTAACAGATTTTCAGTGTTTTTCAAGACCATAACTAATATAAAATTGTATAATACAATTGTTAATAACTAAAATGGACCGTCTACTTTTTTAAAAAAAGGTTTTTATTGATTTTATAGAGGATGGGAGAGGGAGGGAGCGAAACATCCATCAGCTGCCTCCTGCACATCCCCTATTGGGGACGGGCCCCAAACCCAGGATGTGCCCTGACCAGGAATCAAACTGGTGACCTCTCGGTGCATAGGATGACACTCAACCAACTCTGCCACACTGGCCAGGACAACTGTCTACTTTTTATATTAAAATAATGCTTGCTACAACATGACTTTACAAAACTGGAGCAAAAGTTAAAAGTAGACCACATGAACATGATAAAATAGAGTGAGTTTTCTAGTAAAAGACCTTTATGATAAACTGAAGCACAACCTCAGGTGATGCAGCATAGTTTAAAAAACAAGCAAGTAAACAGATCAAAAAACAGTTTTGGAGTCTTCTACATTCCAACCTCTGGTGCAAAGGACCAGCAACGGCCAGAAATGTAGTGAGGAGGTTAGTGAACTGCTGCTGAGTGTTTTTAACACGATTTTAAATCTCTTAAGGGGGAGGAGGTCATCTAACAAAATACATGTGGTTTAAATAACTATTTATTTCGTTTTCCTCATACTTTAACAAATTAAATTTTGTAGTGAATTACAGTCATAAAACTTGAAAAATGTTTCAGTTAAATGGAAAAACTTCCTATGACAAGCCTCCAAATATCAAGGAGTCAAACTATTTCCTGCACAAATTTTCCGCCAGGATGTACCACTTTAAGCAGTAAGGTTTTAACTATTTCCAGTGGAAACTGGTTATCACCAAATGCAATACATACTTATCTTGATTCATATTAATAATCAAACATCACTTGTATAATTTGAAGACAGCAGCCCTCTCAGGGACTGGGGTGTGCAGGATCCTATGCTAAATGGTCTTGAGGTGCCATGCTTCACATTAAATTTGTGTTTTGGTTCCCTTTCCCGGCTGTCAGCTGTCGCATTTCATCGTTTCCCCACCTCTAACAGGACTCTGTAGATCAGCGGTTCTCAACCTGTGGGTCAAAACCCCTTTGGGGGTCGAACGACCCTTTCACAGGGGTAGCCTAGGACATGACAGTAGCAAAATTACAGTTATAAGGTAGCAACAAAAATAATTTTATGGTTGGAGGTCACCACAACATGAGGAACTGTATTAAAGGGTCACAGCATTAGGAAGGTTGAGAACCACTGCTGTAGATACTTGTGATCAGTTCAGGAGCAGAAACCAGATATCCAAACTTAGAATCTAGTGTGAAGATGGGGGCCTAAGGCACTCACTTCTGAATAAGGTACATGTGCATTACTAGCTCATCTCTCCAGGTCTTCTCCAGATTGGTGATGCTGCTACAGCAGGATTCTAAATGTGCAATTGGTTAAGATGCTTCTGGTCGGTAGTAAGTAAAATACCCACCCTAACTTAAGAAACTTGTTGGACCAGCAGAGTTTTGAGAGTAAAACTCTCTTTGCAGAGGAGTTTGATAGGTTCTAAAGGAGGACTACATATGAAAGGTAGAATTATGTAGATCAGCAGATGGCTTAATTAGCTTTGCATAAACTTATTAACCAATTATGTTATAAAATAAAAAAGCAATTTAATGAATCATCATATGAGGCATTGAATTCAAAGCTGACTTGTAATGTGCTTTTCATAAAACAACTTGCTCAAATATCCATATGAATGAATGAATCATTAATACCTGAAGCCTGCACAACAGTTTTGAATACATATTTATGTAATGGTGGTGCTCATTTGCTGAGTAAGGCAATGAGTAGCTCCCTGGGTAAGCAGTCCTCAAAATAGTCATGTGAGACAGTAACAAAAGAACAGTAACAAAAGAACTGTTTCTAGGTTTTAGAAACTCAAGATGAGTTCTTCAAGAGCAATATTATCTTCTGTTGTATTAATTCAGATGCACTTGTTATTAGATGTCCATATTTTAAAGAAGATACATGGAATCGTGTGAATTTACAAGAGGAAGTGACAGCCACTGATCATAATGCATTACACTGTTATTAAAACAGCTTGCTACCAGCTCCAGGTGTCTGAAAAATGTGCATGAGTGGGAAAATTATTTGGGCATGACTCTTTAGCATATATAAACAATTGAAAATGTGGGGGTAAGCTTTATGGAGAGTATATCTTCTTAATTTCAGGGTGTTAAAATTACCTTACCTTTTATGACACAGCTTTCAATTTTTTTAAATGTTCTTACTTGACAAAATTTGAAGTTGATAATTTTGTTTTAGTCTTCGCATTTTTAGAAACTTTCCCTTCTCCTATGAAATCTAAATATGGGAACCACTAGGACATGTATAAACATTTTGCTGTGAGTTACAGTAAATGATTTTTAAAGAAAAGCACTTCACTACAGACCAGGGTATTCAAACTTTTGGTGAGGAGGATTTTTCCCAAAGTCTTGTGATCATCCGTGTAAAAATAATAAAAATGTTAAAGATTCTCTAGTAAGTTTATTTTGCAAACATTTTGTATTGTTTTATTGGTTTATACTGTTATAAAGAGGAAACTGTTCATATAAACACAATTTTGACCACTGAACTACTTATTTTAATATGTTTATTTCTGATTAACCTTCAAATCTCAGCAGCTCATGAGTTTAGTTCTTGCCACTCCACCCCACCCTGTCAGCAACTCAGATAACTCAAGACAGACAATATACCTAAACAGACACAAACAAGACTATTGTAAACAAACTTTTATAATGTAAATAAATATTCCTGCCCTGGACGGTTTGGCTCAACAGTTAGAGCACTGGCCAGGGACAGAGGATCACAGGTTTCATTTCCGGTCAAGTGCATGTACCTGGGTTGCAGTTTCGATCCCATCATGTAGGAGGCAACCAATTGATGCATCTCTCTCACATCAATGTCTCTGTCTCTGTCTCTGTCTCTCTCCCCCCACCTCCCTCCACTCTATCTAAAAATCAATGGAAAAATATCCTCAGATGAGGATTAACCAAAAATAAATACATACATACATACATACATACATAAATAATGGTTCCTTGCTGGAACTTTTTATGTCCAGTTCACGTCTTCCATGAAATTGGGATATTTATATTCATTATACCACAATCTCTATAAAGAAGAGTTTATCTCTTTGAAAACTCAAGTAATTCTTGCGAGCAATATTTTTCTTATTGATCTAAAAAGAATGGAGCATGGAAGGCCAAAAAAGAAACAAATCACTTCAAATGATCAAAACAGAGGAGAACTGAAAGATAACATGTTTAATAGAGTAGGGAGAAAATTTTAAATTATATATTCTATTGAAAATATTGATATTCAAAGAAATGGTTTCGGATCCATTGTCCAAAACTTAAATTTCTCTCAATTAATTAAAATCAGAAGTGTTGGTTTTATTGTAGGAAGATACATTAATTCTTTGAAGTCAAAATGAAAGGGTTGAACAATTTAATTCCTATATAAATGATTGAATATATGAAATATCAAATATAAACAGTAGTGTAGCAAGAAAATAAACTGGCAGAAATACTCCACCAGCAGTAATAATTAAGACCACCATTTGAAAGATCTATACACAAAGAATAAAAACATATCATTGTAATTGTTTACAGCACACAACAATTCAACCCTAATTCTTTACTATCATACTTCTTTCTTCTTCAGTATTAGTGGGCCCACATTATCTCCTGTCAATTCATTGTGTTTATTATGTGAACCATCACAGGCAGGAAACTAGAAAGAAAAAAGAATTACAAGTGTTATATTTTAAATGATTCAATAAGTGGAAATATTTGTGAAATGCTCTTATAAAGAAAGCACATTACTTTGGGGGGGGGGGGGGAAATCCATCAGATAGCTTTCCTGAGTAATATATTCTACATTTAATCCAAGTACATCCCAATCAATACCACAGCAAATCTAACAAGTTCAAACAATTAATTCAGTATTTGGTATAGATTTTAAATAAAAAGCTTTGGATGATTCCATATGAGGCAATAAAATAGGTATGAAAAGGGATCAAAATAAGCTTTTGTTCTCTGTGGAACTCTAAATTTAAGCTCACCTATTCACTTATTTACATTTTAAAAGAATGTAATTTAAATTGAAAATGCTTTCCTACTATAAAACTCATGCATATTGTAACATGTTTTAAAAATTAAAATATATAGTTTAAAAAATTCACTCATAGGTAACAATCAAAACTTTAGTATATTTTTCCTCTGCATTTACTATGTGTATCCATTTTTGTTTTAAAAATACTGTAACAGGCTGGCTGCTGTGGCTCAGTTGGATGGGTGTTGTCAAGTGCACCTTTAAAAGGTCACCAGTTTGATTCCCGGTCAGGGCACAGGCCCAGGTTGCAGGTTCCCGGGAGGCAACCACTCAATGTTGCTTTCTCTTGCTCTCTTTTTCCTCTCCCTCTCCCCCACTTTATTTATAAAATCAATAAAAACATTTTTTAAATACTGTAATATACTTGTCTTATTTGTATTACATTATGCTTTCATGTCATTAAATATTCTTTAAAAACATGATTTGTAGTGACTTCCTAATACCCCATCATTTTTATTATACCTATTAGATTATAAATTATTTCTAACAATTTGTTAATAAAGGATGCTGTGATGAACATTATTGTATTTAAAATCTCAAATAACTTATGATCAGAGTAGTAGAAGAAAACAGATCTTGTCAGACCTTCTCTAGCTCATACGATAAGGCACTGTACATACATCATCTCACTAAATCCTTGAAAATGTCTATGACATTGATGTTATCAGAATTAAAAATCAGAGATTAAAGATTAAATAACTGCCCAATCAAAGCCATACTGTAAGTGGCAGACAACAGCTTGGAACATAATTTATTCGGACTCCATAGCCTAAACTCTTCCACTAAACCTTACGTCCTCTCTCATAACATAGGTGTATTTTAAACTACACATTACTCCAGTTCACCGCTAAAACATGATAAAAACATCAGATTTCTATCCTTCCTTGCTACTCTAACTTTTCTAATGCAGGTAGTACGGATCATAAAATGAAAACTTTAATTTAGGAATATAGACTTTTGGTACTGAACAATTTGGAAAAACCTCTAATCTCACAGAATGTCAAAACTGAAGATTTGAGAAGGAAAACATTTTAACTACACAAAATTTCAGTGTATGTATAAATGGACATCTTACCGTCTTAGAACGCCAACACCTACAATAAGCTGCTTTAGTAAGACACAAATCTTCAATGTTTATTTCATTCACCACTTTGGGATTTTCCTTTTGTATTTTAAGATTAATCAAGCTATCCTTCTGTTGTTTTTTCTTTGGGAGAAACGGACGAACTGCAAGGTAGCCAAGCAGTGCGAGTACACCAAGGAAAGGCAATAACCGAAGCCATTCTGAAACTAAACAGGTACAGATGTGTTAGTCTGCAGTGCTCCTGTAGTAGAACTCAAATAGCATGTCTCCTTGAGCTGATTCTTTATGTATTCTTTGTTTCTCACTTTAAAGCCTTAACTATTCATCTTTTAAACCACGGATAAGTAAATCAAGCCACCTTTACCTAGGACCACCTTATTTCAATTGTGGGCTAACTTGAGACTTGTGAAATGGAAAACAAAATTTTCAGAAATAGGTCCTATATCAAATATCCTGTCACTGTCTTAAGTAGATTTGTGTTTATTTTTATTTCAGGAATTTTGACCCATAATTAGATACAAAATACACTGTGTGATATATTTTATAGGTTTAAAAAATATTTCCACCATCTCTAAAAGAATACAACAGAATACTGTATTTTACCATTTATGAATAATTTCAGACAGAATATTTTAATTTATTTTAGTTTCAATGCTTTATATATTTTGGTAAGGCATAGTGATTCCTAAAGAAACACCTAGATGTGTAAAAGCTACTGTTTTAAAAACTAAAATGTTCCTATACTGGATGCTCACATTGTTAGATACATCTTACTCCATAAGTGTTCTTTAAGTGCCTTCTTTAGTACTCAGCACAGGAAATATAAGTCATAAAACCCAGCAGGAAACTGAGATAAATATTTCAGTATATATTTATCAAATGTTGGATAGTGTCCAGCCTCTGCTGGGCTCTGCGGGGAATCCTTTCTGTCCCTAAAGAGTTATCATTTGACATCCTTCCACGAGGGCCTACCTGGTACCTTGCTAAGCACTATGTAAAAATAGCTTAGTTGAGGAAAAAAATGGAAGATTATGGCCCAAGGCATACTAATAAATGTTAATGATAATGAACAGACTATGCTAAGAGTACAATTGTATTATCTCATTTAATACTTGATTAGCTTAGCCTGGGTGGTGTGGCTCAGTGGTTGAGTGTTGACCCATGCACCAAAAGGTCACCGATTCGATTCCTGGTCAGCGCACATGCCTGAGTTGTGGGCTCAATCTCCAGTGTGGGACTTGCAGTAGGCGGCCAAATAATGTTTCTCTCTCTTTCTTCCCCTCTCCAAAAAAAAAAAAAAAAAAATCAATAAAAAACATTAAAAACTACTTTATTAGCTTAAACAATATTTGGTAGGTACCATTATGATTCCCATTTTCCGTGTGGGTAAACTGTAGCTTAAGCAGGTTTAGTATAGGAAGTTAAGTCCAAAATTTATTCTCAACCACCATCAACCAAATCCAACAGATATAACATTTTATCTGTTCTTCTCTTGGTAAAACTACTCTCCAGAGATAACTGTTCTTACTATGCAAACAACTACTGAAAGATTAGCTTAATGCCAACTCTTCCAAAATGAGACTATTTTTGATATAACACCATGCCAAAGGTTTGTTATGAGGCCTAAAGAAAATAACTCATTTATGTATGTATAGCACCTATAAGAATATTTGGCACAGAAAAATATACAATAAATGTTAGCTTTTAGTAAGACGAAGGAGATTTGGTAGCAACTCCCTTGAAAAAACATTTTGCCAAATCAACTTTATGTTGTATGGTAGAAATTTGGGGGCTGGGGTATAATCTTTTAGTCTCCAGAATGAAGCTGGATAAGGATAAGGATCTTACCTGTTATGCTGGCTATTCTATTCTCATAACCATAGAGGAGACATTCCATACAGATCTTCTGAATGAATTAAACTTCTGGAAATGACAAAGAACTGTTCCGTGGGGGTTGCGCGGGAGACCTATCCTAATATCTGTGCTGTCCAACATAGCAGCCACTGCACCCAAGACTTCGTTTAAATCAGATATGAGACAAGACACAGAGACAACTGCCTTGAAAGGAGAGTTTATTACAGTTCTCAAGAGGAGGGAACACACCATGCCACGTAGGACACACAGGAAAGTACCAGGGTTGAACAGGAGGAAGGTGACAGGAAAGCATGGGCACACGCCTTTATTGTGGCTTCCAGGAAACAGCAAGGTAGGGCAGGATAAACAGTTTAGGACTGAATAATTTCAGTGGGTTCTAGGCGATTGACGGGGTACCTAGTTGTTTTATACCTGGCCCAAGGTGATTTAGAGCAGAGGAAATCCTGGTTGGTAAGTGAGTTAGATAAAAGAGGTAGTTAAGTTACAGGTTTTGGATTGGTTGATTTGCATATGAAAGGTGAGCTCCACAGGCAAGTTGTTTATTATTTCTAGGAATTAACCTGGCCTTGGGAGGGACAGGTTCTCCCTGGCCAACAAGGCCCTCAAGAGGTCAAAGTATCATAAAATATAGAAAGTAAAAACATGATTGCCCTGGCCGGTTTGGCTCAGCGGTTAGCGCGTTGGCCTGTGGTCCAGAGAGATCCGGGTTCAGTTCCCGCTAAGGGCGCGAGCCTCGGTTGCGGTTTGTCCCCGGCCCTGGTGGGTCGTGCGGGTGGCAACCACTCGATGTGTCCCTTTCACGTCGATGTTTCTCTCTCTCTCTTCCTCTCTTTCCCTCCCACTCTATCTGAACAAAAAATGAAAAAATGTCCTTGGGTGAGGATAAAAAAATAAAATGATTAAACACAGATGTGGCTGTTTAAATAATTAAGTAAAAGTCAAAATCCAGTTTCTAAGACACACGAGTCACAAGTCCCGTTTCAGCAGCTCAACAGCCATGCATGTGGCTAGTGACTACTGAAATTACCTGCAGAGAACATTTCCATTATCACAGAAAGTTTTTTGGATTGTGCTGCAATAGACCACTGTTTCTATAAAATATCAACTCTCTAGCATGGCAGAGCTACTTTCACAGCTTCATCTCCCACAGACATCCTCTCTCTCAAGTACTTGAAGCCACTCCAAAGCTATTACCTAGTAACAGCCTTCCTGTGTTCTTTGCATAAAGAATTCCTTCTGTTTGCCATGCCTACTCTGGTCTATGACTCATTTGGGTAAACCTACTGCCTCCTCCAGAAGTCTTTCTTGATTAACAAAACAAAATTTTGTTATTTCCTAATGGGTTCCCAAGACCCTTCTCCTCATGTTCTTTTTTCCCACTATTGTTACCTATTTATAAATTTGACTCTTCCACAGACCTGTAAGAAAAGGAGCTGTGTGCTACTCTTTTGGAACAAAGACACTTCAGAAATGTTTAATGAGTTACTTACTGAATGAATAATGTACAGCATAAATGTCAGTTCCTTTCTCATGCATCACATTGTACTGTATTTATTTGTTTACACTTATCTTCTAGATCAGGTAATGATCTTATATTGATATTGGCCCCAACAGCCAGTATACTATCTTGAAATAGTTATTCAATAGATGTTTGTTGAATATAGAATAACACTAAGTATCATACTCTATATTACAAAATTAAAAAGTCACAAGAAGTTAACTGATTCAAAGTCAAAATGTAAATAAATGGGAAAAAAGCAAGAACAAAAAAAAGTAAATGAGTAAGAACGTAAAGATGAAAAGCTTAACTTAGATTCTTGAGTTTAGTATTTCCTATCTTAGCCCACAAATCTCAGGAAATAAATGATGTTAATATTGTTTTAAAATCTACTATAGAAAATGTTATTTTGACACACTCAATACCTTGGTAAAACACTACATTCTCTAGATAGATAGATAGATAGATAGATGTAAAACACTACATTCTATAGATAGATAGATAGATAGATAGATAGATAGATAGATAGATAGACAGACACTGATAGATGTAGATACAGCAGCAAATTCCAACCTTTTTCATCTCATGGCACATATACACTAGTTACTAAAATTCTGCAGCACACCAAAAAAGTTTTTTTTCCGATCTGACAAAAATATATATATACGATTTTGATTCATTTACATTGGATGGCTACTGGTGTGTTGGCTGTTGTCATTTTTTTATTTGACAATCTAAGGGAAAAGAGGTAGGTGCTCCCTCACTAAACAGTCAGGTTTTAAGAATTCTTGCAGCACACAGTTGAAAATCGCTGACATAAAGTAATGAAAAGTACGATTATCTCCTATAACAAAGTAATAACTGATACAACAGTTTTAGTACAATCTGATTCTTAATGATAAACTTCATTTTAACTACAGAAAAGCTTTATAAAGGAAAATAACACAGCCTATAAAACTGAATTAAAAATCACTTTACTAATACTGATTTTAGTAAAGAAATATAAAATACAGAAAAATCAAACAAGAAGCAAACAAAAAAACCTTTTAGGACCAGTTATTTCCTATGAACTTATTTGATACATGTTGACCTCTTACAGATATTTTAGATACTGTGAAGAAAAAACTGTTACCTACTAATTCTGTTAGGTATAATGTATACTTTGTACAGTATATGTTTAATTTTTGTTTTAGGATATAAAAAATAGTATTTATTTTTTAAAATTTGGAAAAATATAAAAATATAAAGCAACTTTGAATCCCACCAGTCAAGAGAAAGTAACATTTCTTTAATATTTCTATATTGTCTTTTTTTTTGGGGGGGGGGGGCTGTGCTTTATATAATTAAAAAGCAAAATTGATATCATATTGTATATACAGTCCATATAGTGCTTTTTCATTTAATATTATATCAGAAACATTATCCCATTCCTTAGTGTCTTTTGGAAATATGAATTTTAATGGCTATACCCACCTATCATGTCCCCCAATCACAACAGAAGATCTACAAGGGCAGGGACCTTATTTATCTACATCATCACTGTATCCTTGGTGTCTAAACAGTGCTATTTTATTTTACACTGAGACATAATTTAGTGTTCAGCCTGCTGAACTTTATGTTAAGTGTTCAATTTGATAAATTTTTCAACTACGTAGACCTGTAAACACCACCTAAAACAAAGTATAGGGCATTTCCATCAAAATATAGGGCAATTTCCTCTGGAAAGTCTGCTCTTATACAATCAATCCCTTCTTTCTGGGCTCTTTCATCCATTTAAATGCTTAGTAAATATTTCTGAATGAAGAAATCTGATCAATATGCCACTGTTAAACAATTTCTTTTCACCTTTTGGACTATGTAATTATTACAAACCTAGTATGTGGAGACACTGTGCTAAATGCAAGTGCAGCAGCTGTCTATTTGTTTCTATGTAACCAGTGCTTAGTACAGTGCCTGGTACAGAGCTGGACTTCAAAAAACTAATTCACAGTTTATCTGTTGTATAAATCCAGATTTTCGTGTACTTGGGAAACAGGATTCTTTGGTCTGTAAAATAGGAATAACAATAATTCATTCATTTGTTCAACAATACAAGTACCCACTGCACTCCAAATACTGCACTAGGGGAATACAGGCTGATAAGTTAGATAAGGTCCCTGCTCTTATTGGGTATATATTTTAGAAGAGCTTAGAAGACACAGTCCCTACCAAACAGCTTTCCACCAAGTATGGAATATAGATCTAAAGAAAGGATTACAGTACTGTGTACTAGGTGTAATCATAAATAAGCAATACAATGGATGAAGTGATAAACTCTTTGCAAGATTGAGCCAAGAGGCGCACTGGATACCTACATAGGTTGCTGGGATATAATGAGAGAGAAGAGGGACTGCAGAAGTGAGCAGGTGCCAGATTATGAAAAACTCTGATATAAATGGGAACCACTGAAACATTGGAATATTAATGTAGCTAAAAAATTGTTCATTTATGAAATTACACTGGTATTAGATAGAAGATGAACTAGTAGAAAAACATTAAGGAGAGCAGAGAGGGCTAGTGGTAGGAAGATAAGAGGCAAGACAACCTACTGAAAACCAACTGAAATAACCCAGAAAAAAATAATCTGAGCTGAAACTAAGGCAGTAGCCATCAAAGCAAAGAGAAGACAAATGGATCCCCTAGGATATAGTATATGTGCACCTATGTGTGCATTTTCTGAGGAAATAAGTCTATAGCTTTCATTGGGATCTCAGAGTAGGTCTGTGATCAACCCTCACTCACCTTGAAACATAAGACCCACTAACTAAGATAGTTCAAATCAATAGGATTTGGTGACTGATTGTATGGAGCATGACGTAAACACAGGAAGTGAAGCTCCTTCCTGATTCCCAGATTTCCGTTTTCATTATCTGGATGTATAGTGGTACTGGCTTCAAATTGAAGCAAAACAAAACAGAATATAAGAAAGGCAGCTCTAAGCATGACAAGAAAGTGCAGTACTGTAGAAGAAAGGAAAAAATAGGAGGTGTCAACATCCTTAAAAAATGTAAGGGAGAGACTAAAGTTCAACAGATACCAGCTAAAAGGTTACTCATAGATGGCAGAAGACAGCTTTCTTTGAAGAGAGTAACACTGTTCCAGTGTGGAAGCAGCTCTGCAGTGCCTGAAAGATGCCAACGGCCTTGCTCCCTCATCCCATGAACACATGGAGGGACAGAAGAAGAAAAAACACCACTGAGAGAGCTGCAAGGGAAGTGCTATCCTCAGCGAGAACTTTGTTTCATTTAGGGCTTCTAGAAGGTGCCTCAGGTATTAAGAGTTTGAGAAGACAAGCTATGACTTGAAGATAGAAGTGTGGGGGGAAATCAGGGGTTGCAGAAAGAAAGATGCACTTTTGGCTGCAGTTAAGTCAAACGTGGAACTGGCTGACCTCAACATTCAATCCACTGAAAGGGTGCCCAGTTGGCAATACTTTGTTTACTCATTTGTATGCAAAAAGGTTGAATTTCCTTAAAAATTTTCCCTTAATTCAAATATTTTCACTTTTGACAGACCTCATTTCTCTATCAGTGACGTTTACATTTACAACTTTTTAAAAATCACCTGTTTCTAATTTAAACGAGAGACCATCCTCGGGTAAGGATAAAAAAAAAAAAAAAAGAGTCAGACCACACTAATACTATTAATACTGAGCAT